CAGATACTCCGCGTACTCAAGTTGTACTACCAAGTCGCCAGTTCTCAGCTTCCAGCTTCACAGCTACTCCGCGTACTAAAGTTGTACTACAAAGTCGCCAGTTCTCAGCTTCCAGCTCCACAGCTACTCCGCGTACTAAAGTTGTACTAGAAACTCGCCAGTTCTCAGCTTCCAGCTCCACAGCTACTCCGCGTACTAAAGTTGTACTACAAAGTCGCCAGTTCTCAGCTTCCAGCTCCACAGATTGCTCCGCGAACTAAAGTTGTACTACAAAGTCGCCAGTTCTCAGCTTCCAGCTCCCCAGCTACTCCGCGTACTACAGTTGTACTACCAAGTCGCCAGTTCTCATCTTCCAGCTCCCCAGCTACTCCGCGTACTACAGTTGTACTACAAAGTCGCCAGTGCTCATCTTCCAGCTCCCCAGATACTCCGCGTACTCAAGTTGTACTACCAAGTCGCCAGTTCTCATCTTCCCACTCCCCAGCTACTCCGCGTACTCAAGTTGTACTACCAAGTCGCCAGTTCTCATCTTCCAGCTCCCCAGCTACTCCGCGTACTAAAGTTGTACTACAAAGTCGCCAGTTCTCAGCTTCCAGCTCCACAGATTGCTCCGCATACTAAAGTCGTACTAGAAACTCGCCAGTTCTCAGCTTCCAGCTCCACAGCTACTCCGCGTACTAAAGTTGTACTACAAAGTCGCCAGTTCTCAGCTTCCAGCTCCACAGATTGCTCCGCGTACTAAAGTTGTACTAGAAACTCGCCAGTTCTCAGCTTCCAGCTCCACAGCTACTCCGCGTACTAAAGTTGCACTACAAAGTTGCCAGTTCTCAGCTTCCAGCTCCACAGATTGCTCCACCGGCGACCACCGGCGACAACGCAACCACCAGACCCTTTAAGAGAGCGAGATCTACTGCAATTCACAATAACACAGCGCCGCAGCCGACCAGCGGCGACCACCGGCGACCACCGGCGACCACCGGCGCCCACGCAACAGCCAGACCCTCTA